CTCTGGGGGGACAACTACACACAAAGCATAACACATGGTTTAGGGGTAAGGATTGGAGGATGTGAAGAAATGGCAACAGGTAGGATATTTCCTGGTTCATAATTTTTCTCTCCTGTTTCTTTTTCTGTTTCCACACAGGTTTGGTCTCTCTGTCTGCAAGATGTATGCCCAATGAAACAATGTGCCTCCTACTCTAGCTCTGCTGGCCAAGAATTCAACAAACTTCTTGGTAATTCACCTGTGAGGTGGACCTGAGAAGTGTTTCTTACTGGACTGACCACTGGGAAGCAATTACAATGTAACTGTGCCTTTTGTAGAAAACACATTCAGTTTTCCCACTTCTCTAATAGAAGATTCAACCCTGACTTTGAGGTATGTCAAATAGAAAGTTAAAATTCTTTTGGAAAGAAAAACCTTCTAAACAGCCCAGGTCATTTTGAAAATCCTTTGGGAAGCTCATTTTTACTTGGGTACTTCTGTCCATAGGACTTTGGTGATGTACTCTGACCCCAGCCAGAGACTGGGGAACAGAAAGAGACAGATTTGGGAGAGGAGGCCCCACTAGGTCAGGTATGGTCAGTGAGAAGGACAGCAAGGGCCCAGAGTGTGGGAAGACTGAGGCAGGGCCTGGGCCCTCACTGCTGCCAGCCTCCTTCAGGGGTACAAGCCATATCCTCTCCTCTTAACAGCTAAACCCTCAGCAACAGGAAGATGGAAACTGGGGTGATGCAGAGGAAATCAGTAAGTGCAATGTGTCCTGTAGACTTGCACATGCAAGGGGTTCTCTGGTAACCGCAGTGTGGAAGGCATTGCAAGAAAAATTTAAGTGTTCACCTGCTTGACTTGGGGCTCTGTATGGGGAAGTGGTTTCCACAGTGTGAGCAGGTGAAATCGCAGTGTCATCCTAAGCCTTCATTTCAGGGGCCTACAGCTGTGTACTCATAGTTTCCAGAGCAGACACTTCTTTATTATGCCACAGCTGTCCTAACTGCACAGATGTGTCTATGGAATGATGCTACAAGTCCTGAGCAATATAACCAAGTGCACGCACAGCCAGGGGAGCAGAGTTGTTTTAGGAAAGCCTGGGCCACAGCAGTCCTGGTAGGATCACCAGCCTTTGAGACATCTTCTCCTTCAAGAGAGATTTATCAAGCCCACCCCCCTCCAAAAAATATTACACTAATCAGAGGATAGAAAGATGTGTCCTATATGGAGTTAATATACATATGGAAACTTAAAATGATCTAACTTTTGACCAACAAATTACATTGTTATAAACCTATTTCTTATATACAGAAATCAAAATATGGATACAAGCACATCTATAATCCCAACTACTTGGGCAGCAGGAGGGAAACTGCAAGTCTGGGACCAGCCTGAGCCACTTAGCAAGACCATGTTTACAAATAAAAAGGGCTTGGGATGTAGTTCAGTGATAGAGCACCCTGGGTTGATGCCCCATGCCAAATAAATAAACCATAAATAAACATTTGGTCTCTGGCATGTGGACAGCAGTTTAAATTCATATGCCATTTAAATCACTCATGGTATGGGGGGGAAGGAAAATGATATCTTTCCTTGACTAGTTCTATGACAGGACAGTCTCTACTCAGAACTCACTGTTCTAAGAGTTCTCCCCCTTCTTAACACCTTACCTCATGTCTGCCTTCAGTTTATATAACTCATATGCTTTAGAGAAGCTGAATGTGCAGCCCCATTTTCTGGGGTTTACTTTGATACCATAAAGAGTTTCTTGCCTTTTTAGCCTCTGATTTGGTTAATAATCATTTATGGGACAAAAGGAAATATACAAGTCAGTTCCTTCTTAAAACTACAGTAGCTCGGAAGATTGAAAACCTCACTATATCTTACCTAGAAAGAGAGAGAGAAAAAAAAAACAAGTCCATCACACCAAGTGTTAGCTACCCTTATATTTTTAGGAAAAAGCAATAAAAAGACAAATACATTACATTGAAAATATATTTTCCTTAACTTATTCTGTTCCATATCTTTCCCTGATATCAGAAACCTGCCTTTCAGGGGCCAGGGAGATGGCTCAGTAGAATAAGCCCTTCCTTGGCAAGCACAAAAGCCTGAGTTCAATCCCTGGTTCCGCCAGGAAGAAAGAAAAAAGAAAGAGAAAGAAAGAAAGAAAGAAAGAAAGAAAGAAAGAAAGAAAGAAAGAAAGAAAGAAAGAAAGAAAGGAAGGAAGGAAGGAAGGAAGGAAGGAAGAAAAAAAGCAAGCAAGCAAGCAAGCAAGCAAGCAAGCTGCCTTTGGTTTTTGGAAGCCACCCTTCCCTATAATTTTCAGACTTTATGTGAAAGTTATCCAATGCACAGAGAGATGTGTGATTAACTTAAGCAAATCAGTGAAAATTATCCTTATAACCACAGCCTTTGGTTAGGAATTGAATTCCCAAGGCAGCCAAATCTGAAAAACCTAATCGTTTTTTCCCCATAGGAATGTAGACTCACTGTTCTCTGCTAAAATGGTCAAGAATTCATGCCACACTCAGATACTGGCAGCCATCTGGATACTCTGCCATGGCAGGGAGATTGCAAAGAGACTGCAGGACCTGGGACCCTGTTTGGCTGCTGCATCCAGGTTGCCAGGAGCCAGAGTCACCTTTGTACCCCACAGGCTTGGGGCCACAAGGTTGAGAATAACCACGCAGAGTTTGCTTCTGTTGCTGCCCCGTGGAGTCAGTGAACTCAGATGTGGAGATGGGAAAGACAAGCTTTTATTGGCAACAAGCTGGCAGCTTGCTTTTATTGGGATCAAGCTTGTAGGCTACAGCCCTCAATAACTGTTTTACTGCTACTCCTAAGGTACTATCTTTTATAGAGCTTTTTAAGGGAAGGGATGCCAACCTCTGATAGGGAGGCACTTCACTTGCCTTGTATTTCTAAAAATAATCTCCTCTGCAATGTGGGCTGTGTACATCTCATCTCCTTTACTTAGGTCAATAAGAGTTGCAGTCCGGTGGGCATAAAGACATCAGCAATCCATTTCTGTATTGATTGAAGTGACTTGTGCCTGATTTTGTCATGGTCAGCAGTGTTTCTTGTTGTTGCAGGCAGGACTTTTCCTATAAGTTGGAACTAAGGAGCACTCAGAAATGGAAAGTTGTGTGCACTTTCACTAGCTGTTATCTGTGCCCAGTGAATCTGTGACAGGGTAGGCAGGAGCAAAGGGAAACTTGGAGAATTGGATTGTGCATGGGAGCTCACGTGCACACTCTGTGGTTCACTAAATAGGAACGAATGTTAAAGTTTGGAGTGTGTCAGGGCTTGGAAAACACAGAAGGTTTCACCTCCCCTAGATTAGGAGGTCGTAGGACCTGCATTTCTAGCAGGGTTGCAGGTGTTCACACTGCTCTCTCATTTTATTTTAGTGTTAAATTCCTATGCTAAATACAAAAATAAAACATTAAGGATTTTGATTCTCAATATTGGAGTTAGACAGCTACCCCTTGCATCCATTTGTAAGGTCCTTTAAGAAAGGACTTAGGTTGCCTGGAAAGGGGCTCATCTGAAATCAGTAAAGGAAAAGCAATTAAGTTTTGCTGAGAAAGTCCTTTCCAACCTGTCTCCTGAGAACACAGGAACCTGGAGTAATGCCAGGAGGTAACTGCAGAAATTTCTATTCTGAGATAAATTTACTAGACATAGAGTAAGGCAGTGGGAGACTTAGAGATACTGTAGCTCAACTGCAGCCCTGACTATACTTCTTTACCCTTTGTAGGAAATAGTTATCTCTCCATTTAAAGTAGAGAGTGCCTCACCTACAAGGATTGGGGATTGAATCCAGGACTCCACTGTGGTAGGTGAGCACTCCATGACCAAGATACGCCCCTCACCACCTTGCCTTTAAAAACTCGAGACAAGGTCTTGTTAAATTGCCCAAGATGTCCTTGAATTTTCAGTTTTCCTGCTTCAGCCTCACAAGTACAGATTAGAGGGCTACATCACCAAATCTGGCTGACCGTCAGCTCTTTCTGAAAATGTAAGGAGGATGTGGTTTGGGGCTGAGGGTGAAGCCTTGTCACCTCCACATGTGATTCTGCAACTCCACAGGGTACCAGACGGTGCCCTGAGCATCTTCCCAACCTGAGTCAAAATACAAAATACAGTACGCGGCTGGCCAACCTCTCTGCCATTGGTTCCATAATTCATGGAATAATCAGAAATGAATAGATTAGAAGACTAACATCTTTGGAAGGAAGGTACATTCCAACGAAACCACAAGATTGGTCCTCAAACTACTGTGTATTACTCAACACCTGAGAAAATACCTAATTCCTAGGCCCCAGGAAGAGGAAGTAGGCAGCTCCTTCACAACCCCAAAATAAGCTTCTCCCCTTGTCATCTCAGATGTCTCTATGGAGGATGCTTTTCCAGGGCAGAGAGCTAGGAACCCCTGTGAGCTGAGCCTTAGTTGTGGCTCAGCTCTGAAATTTCTAGGGAGTCGTTCACAGTGCATTTTTTTTTCTATTTTACTCAATAGCACTCCCCACTTTATTTACCATGTTTTTAATTTTTTTTCCCATAACGTCTGTATTTATAGGGTGTTGGGGCCCATGAAACTTCTCATTTAACTGCGGACTTCTGGACCTTGAGTTGCATGAAAAGCACTCAGTTTTGAGTAAGATTCAAAAGTCCTGGCAATTATTATTTAAAAAGTTTTACTTCTAAACACACACTACTGAATATTCTGCCCAACAGGTATTCATGCAAGTGATGAGTTTCCCCTAACACAGATATGTATCAGTTGACTTATAAAAGTTCACAATTCCACTGACCTGGACTGTGTCTCCAGCGTAAATTGGAGTATCTCTGTGTTTTCCCTTCCCCCCACCACCAAATCCTTGTCTTTAACATCTTCCTAGTTTTTTTCCTCTTATTTCTCATAACCAGTGGCTCTGAGTGGCCAGAAAACAAAATAAGACTCAATGTCAGTTTACTTGTTTAAAAAAGCATGTTTATTATTTCATCAGGCTAGACACAGCACAGAATAAAAACATCCAGGAAGCATGTGTCAGTTTTCTGTCTGTGGTACCATGTCTGCCTAGAACTAGCTGGTGACAGCCACTCAACTGTCACCAAACAGAGTAGAAAAAGTAGAGGAGACTGGTAGTGAAGAAGGTGTCCTGAGATCTTTCATATAGCTGGTCACAAATTTTTATAAAAATAAAAATTAAATAAAATAAATAAATATCATAAATAAATTAGGATTTAAGTTAAAGGTTCCCACGAGTGAGGTAACTGTGGAGGTCACAGGTTGTTTCCAAGGCATAGGTCCTTGCTCTCCTCGGAGGTTTGTCAGTTCCTGACTTCTTCCAGGCCGCTCAGGCATTGAGCTCCAGATCATTCATGTATTCTTGGACCCAGGCCTCACTCGGGTTTGCACAGACCTCCCGGCCTCTCTTGGTTATGAAGCTGTGGAGAGAGGAAAGAAAGGATCAACCACTGAGGGCTCCCATGGGAGCATCCTGGGACTATGGTGGCCCTGTCATCTCAGCCCATGTCCTGAGTAGCTCATGGATGCTTTGTCTTCGGCCAGTCTAGATAGCCACACTCAGTGACACAGGGGCCCCTCAGAGCATCCTGCCACCTTCTTCCTGTTCCTTCCCTCTAGGCTGCAGCAGCCCTCTTCATTATGTACCATCCCCTCCACTGAGTCAGGTCACACCTCCAAACATGAGGTCCTATGTAGCTGATAGGGTACGGGTCTTTCTACAATGGCTCTCCCGGCTGGTCCTTGCTCGAGAGAACTGTACCCAGGAGTGGGAAGGAGAGTTTGCACTTACATGACACCAGGCTGGGAGCACTGGCTGTTGGTCTCATAATAGTCAACTACGAACTGGCGTGGAATCTTCTTGGACACATAGGTGAAGCAGCAGGCTGTTGGCGTGTCAGCACCAACTGCAGAGGAAGGAACAGAGTGAGCCAAGTAGTCATTTAGAAGGAAGGGCCAGCCCAGAGCTGCTCCTTTACATGATGAGGACAATGGCCTTGCTCCAAGTGGAGGCTGGAATGCCTATCATTGGCAGACATTGGGTACCTTTGCCTAGAAATATCTCTTTCTTCATTTCTGTGTCTCTTTTCTAATTCTTCACCATGGGCTCTGTTTTTCTGTGTGTGATTTGGCATATTATTCTATTGCTTCATCTCTCTTCAGGAAATTGTATCTGACTCAAAAAATCATGCCCAAGTAAAAAGGCCAGGCCATGTCGTTTGAGACAGGACTCTAGCTAGTGAGTAGGTGGCACCACTAGGAAGGAACCAGATCCTGATTTTCCCATTTGCAAATTTACTTCTCTAGGACCCATGTTCTATCTGTACAAGGTGCTGTAACTGCCTTGTACATCCTGAACCTGGCTCTCAGAGATGGGTCCTAGGACAGTGATGGCCCCTTCTAAATATGAAAGAGACAGATCAAGATGTCTTGTGGTCCTTTATGAAATTCTTTTGGCCCTTGGCGACTCTGAAGCCAGAAGAAAAGACTGAGTGGTCCCTTAATGCCAGGAGTAAGGACACCTGGAAAAACAGCACAAACTTACGTGGTGCAGAGAAGACCTGGTGGCAGAGGGTCATGGTACACAGGAGGGCAGCGAGGACAGCCATGGAGACCTTCATGATGCTGAGAGTCAGTGGAGTCTGGGTTCGAGTGTCAGCAGAGCCAAGAAAGGCCTGGATACTTGGTGCTGTCCCTGTGCTTCTGGTGTCTCAAGCCATCTTCTCTGCTTTTTATAAGGTAGCCCAGGCCAAAGGGGAAATTCATTCTGGGGTGACAAGGGAAATTTTGAAGCATGGTAACACTGTCATCTGAGCATTGCACAACTCAGTCTTTGGTGACCGCAGGGGTTCCAGATAACCAAGAATAGCATCTCTGAGCTATGGGCCTCAGCTCTCAACTCGTGACTTGCTCTAGCTCCTTGTGGGGCAATGGTCTCCTCATCAGCAGAATAATAGAATGCGTTTGCTCAGGGATGTTCTAAGCTGGTCTTTTCTCATAAGAGCTGAGCTATAAATGACTTCTCTGTCCTATTTCTTCCCATAGAACTGTATCTCTGCTTTTTGAGGCTTCCCTAACCACAGGGATGGTGTAGCTGTGAACAGTGGCCCAGTTTCCCTGCTCCACCTCATACAATGAACTAAATTAAGGAATCCCCAGATGGAGGAACAAAGAAGTATGAGATCATGTTTCACTCCTTTGTTCATTCATCAAACAGTAATGGGGCTACCAGGGCACTGGGTTAAGCACTAGCTTTAGATTACAAAGATACTTTAGGTGTGGGTGTTAATATGTCAAGAACCTAAAAATATTTAGATCTATTCCTCTAAAAGCAGCATTTCTAGGAAAGAGTACCGTGGACACAACCCAGACAAAGAGGCGTTTACGTATATAAAGGTGGCCCAGCATAGCATATGACTCTGAAGTAAGCAAACCTAATTTTTTTCTGTGAAGGAAATGATAAAGTAAACAGTGGCATATACGTAATTAGGTCCTTAATATGAATGAAATGGCACAAATATCTTCATGAAAAATCAAGACAAAAAAAATTGCCTGAGATCAAGAATTGTACAAATGTATGGAAATGTATGTA